TTGATTTCTAATCTATAGTCTGTATCAAAGTTGTATACATACGCTAACGCCCTCTGGTGTAATAATGTTGATATTTTCATTTCAAGATTTTAACTTCAAGACTTTTTGAAACGTAGAAAATATTTTCATAAGAGTTCAAATTCCAGAATTTTTTTTGATACTTTCAGAAACCAATGCATTGATTTCTTTGTGTAAAATTAAGAAATTATTTTTTAATTTTATTATTTAATGATATATAAAAGTTACCGATAAAACGCCGAAAATGAAACATAAAGTCAATTTTTTGTTTAAAATGTTGATTTTGTGCATGAAATGTTGACATAAGAATGTAGAAACAAGAATCATTAGTTTAGAATGTTGCGTTCGTGTCTAAAATGTTCAAACCGGAATGTAGAAACAAGAATCATGAATATTGTCCCATTTGATCTTCCATAGTATGCAAGTTAAATATATTTAATAGCGCTTTTATCTGGTGTATCTTTCATTTCATTTCATTTCTATATACGGCTTTGGTTGACACCTGCCGTTTACGTCATCGAAACATTGACGTCATCGAGACGTTGACGTCATATACTCGTGAATGTTTCAATATTAATGACCTCTCACGTCGAAACGAGAATTTTGACAGTAACAAAATGACAAAATATTATTTTCGAAATTAATAAAAAATACGAAACAAATTTGTTATCAAAATTAAAAGCAATGTTTCCTGAATGAAAAAATAAAATAAAAATATAGACATTCATATGTATTTAGAAAACTGTTTAGGGCTAAAGCCTGTCTGCCTAATGCCCATAATAATAGATAAATAAATATACGCAGGTCAAAACTTAAGAGTAAAAATTAAATTTTATTAATTTTCTTTCTTTAAATCCAGATACCCAAAATTACTGTGAGAGGCAACTAAAATCTATTCCAACTACAGAAATGTGATTTCTCACTTTTTAGCATGTAAAATTCATCAGTTAAATATTAGGCAGACCGGTTTTTGTCTGCCTAATCCATCGGTCTGCTTAATGGCTATATATATGTGTTTATGGTCCACTTAATGCCCACGTTATATATATATATACACACATAAATTAAATTAAATAAACACATAATACAAATTATTATTTGCAGAATGTTCTTTGAAATAGACATGTTTTTAAAGTCTTCTTAAAACTTTCCAAAGAAGGACACTCTTTTAGATTTCGCGGTAGTTTATTCCATAGTTTCGGTCCCGCTACACTAAAGGATCTGTCAGCAAAGGTTTTATATTTGGTTTTTGGAACATGTAAATCCTGGGCGGTCGATGATCGTGTGGAATATCGATTCGAGTTATATGTTAAAAGATCACAGAGGTAATCTGGAGCATTATTGTTCAAACATTTGTATACCATCAGTAGGGTTTTATATTCGGCACGGACATGTATTGGAAGAAAATGGAGTTGTTTTAAGGCGTCTGATGAATTGGAGAATTTGGATTGTCCAAGAATCATTTTGGCCGTAAGGGTTTGCACTCGCTGAAGAGGAGCAAGTGTTGTTTTTGGTAAATTCACAAACAGACCGTTACAGTAGTCTAAATGTGAAAGTATGAGAGCGTTGGCCAGCTTTAAACACGTCGGTCTGTCCAAAAAGTGTCTTATTTTCTTAATGTTAAATAGAGATAGCGACGCAGCACGTGTCTTGGCTGCAATATGGGACTTCAGGGTTAGATTTTGATCCATGGTAACTCCAAGAACAAATCCAAAATCGTTTGCACCTCGGACGCATGATCACCAGCTTTAAAACAACCGTAGATGTTGTGATCGTCAGCATAACCAACCAATGTTAGATCGTTACCCACAAAATACTGTAAAGTGCTGGAATAGCTCGTAAAGAAGAGAGGGCCATTTATGCTACCCTGGGGCACGGAATAACTGATATTCACTGGATCTGAATATGTGTCTGCAATCTTGACTTTGAAGCTACGACCACTCAGATAAGAGTGTGTCCATTTTGCTGCCGTTTTGCGTATACCAAAGCACTTTTCCAGGACATCAAGAAGTAGTTGGTGATTGACGGTGTCAAAAGCTGCACTTAAATCAATCGCAACGAAAGGAGTAATAGGTGATGTTCCATGTTATGCAGAAGATCCTTGTAAATCTTCAACGTCAAAGTTTCGTTACTGTAATTAGCACGATATGCACTCTGATAAGACGGGAGTAGTTGATGCTGATTCATGTGTTGGGTAAAGCTAATCATGGACGCTTTCTCTACCAATTTAGACAAGAATGACAGGTTGCTCACTGAACGATAGTTCTTTTTTATAAGTTCAAGATTTTGTTTTTTCAACAAAGGATTTATGATAGCTTGTTTCCAATCATTGTGGAATTCACCAGTCGATAGTGAAACATTTATTACATTTTTTTTTGTAAACAATATTTTATTTCAAGTTTATAAAAAGGGAACAGGCATAGCCTATATTACCCCTCTCCTCGTACAAAGAATTTAAAACATAATAAACAGATCTGCTATGTACATACTATTAAATAATGGCGAAAAACATATAAATTATATACACACTATTTATAACAAGTGAAAAAAAGAGAAAGTGCTATTTTAAAACTTGAATTAAAATTGTTCTGAGTAAATCAGATATTGAATCGTCTGGTGACATCGAAGTATTCATGAACTGATTTAAAGATGTTATTTGATGTAGCCTGATTTTCTATGCCAAAAAGAAGTGGTTTAATGGTTTGCTGGTGAGATGGTAAAAGATTTATAGTGTTTTTCCGTGCATCTGATTACAGTGGGCACCAGCGGAGAAAATGTTCAGTATCTTCAAAGCGATGACCACAGCTGCATGATGGATCCTCGGAGATATGTCGTAAAAATTTATGCCCGTTTAGGTCGCTACAAGAAAGCCGCAATCTACTATGTATAATCTGGTTCTTTCTTTTGCCCTGTAGAAATGAATTTGGAATAATAGGATCGTTTAATTTTAGATTTTGTTTGAAAGTAGTGAGAGACGGAGAAAATCTTATATTGATATCAAGTTTGTTCCATTCTTTTGGTCGAGTGGACGTTAAACCCCATCTCTCTCTCTCTCTCTCTCTCTCTCTCTTTCTCTCTCTCGATTCTTTTGTTGATGAGGGTCCGAAAGAGTTCGAAAATATTTTTGTTCTACATTGGTATTCTGAAAGATTGTCATTGTTACGAAGATGATAATTATTGGGTCGGTACAGTATTAAGTCTTTTAGGTACGCAGGTGTCAGGTCATTAATGATTTTATAAATAAGTGTCAGTTTGTGTAGTTTGCGCCTTTCTTGTAGCGTAATAAACCCGGTTTCGTTATATAAGAGTTTATGGCTGGTACCCCTTACAGCCCAAGATATAGTTCGAAGTGCATCTAATTGTAAGTTTTCTAGTTTGTTAGTAGATCGAAATGGGGTAAAATAAAGGAAGTGTACAGAGTATGCAGGGATTTTCGATTAAGCCTATATTTGAGTGACCTTAAGGAGTTAATTAAACTGCTTGTTTTATTGATAATTGAGTACACGTGAGCGTGCCATTTGCAGTTTGACTGAAGGAATAAACCGAGATGTTTATGTTCGTTGACTTCTTTTATTGGAATTTGATTAAATCTAAGTGCTGGTAGTAGAGGATTTTTCTTGATAGTTAGTGCCAGTGTTTCGGTTTTGAGGGGGTTCAAGGATACCAGTCATATTTAGCCCATCTATTTAGTTTTTCTAAGTCGGTATTCATTGTATCGGCATTTGCAGCTGGATCATCGATTGTTAGATACAGAGTTGTGTCGTCAGCAAATAAACGGATGTTTGAATTTATATTTTCTATCTAGTATGTCATTTATGTAGATTAGAAATAGAAGTGGACCGAGAACAGAGCCCTGCGGAACACCGGATTCACAAAAACTCTTTGTTTGCGGTTAGTTAAATAATTTTTGAACCAGTGAAGGACGTCCCCTCTGACCCCAGCCGCATCAAGCTTATGACAGAGTCCAGCGTGCCAGACTCGTGTCAAAAGCTTTACTTATGTCGCAGAACACTGCTTTCGTATATTTGTCTTGATCGATGGCTTGACAAAACGCGTGAGTTAGGTCAGTAAGTTGATAGACGTACGATTCACCGTGAAGAAAGCCGCTCTGAAGTTTAGTAATAATAGAATTGTCATGGAAGAACAATTGGTTATAATCAAATCAATAAGAGAGTTATTTCCTTTGTTGTCGTATCTTGTAGGTTTGTTTATTAGTTGCTTTAAGTCGAAAAGATTAATGGCGTTAGGTATAAAAGTATTGTGTTTAAGATTCATATCGATATTAAAATCACCTAAGATAAAATATTTATTTATATCATCATATATTGATCTTGAAATTGATTCAGTAATTTTATTATTAATATCATAGGTCGAGTTAGGGGGTCTGTAAAAATTTCCTATAAGTAATTTGGTATTATTTGAATTGATTTCTAGCCATATGCACTCTGTACTGTCGATTTCTAGATTTAATCTTCGTTTAAAACATAAATTTCTTCGAATATATACTAAAACCCCACCCCCTGTCTGCCTGTCCTGTCTTTTCTAATGGGGTCGTGAAATGACGGGATAGTTAGCATATTAGTATTTATCGTTTCGTCAAGCCATGTCTCACTTAGCGATATTATATCAAAATTATTTGAGAGTTCTGCTGTAATGATATCGACTTTATTTGTAAGGCTTCTTACATTCAGGTGCACGAGAGATAGTGTATCAGATGGACCGGGATTTACTTAGATGTCACCAGAAAAAATTAATGTCAACTGTGAAATATTTGGTTGATTAACAATTTGTTTTTTGTCGATGCTACAATTGTTTTTATTGCATAAAACCGCATCATTTGCTAGTGATCGGTGAAAATGGTCGTTTTCCCATTTCACGGAAGTAGTTAACCAGGATGCAGATAGACCAGTTAAACGGGGTTTATTTTAAGGGATTGACACGTGCCTGGCTTTAGTATCGGTGATTATAAAGGCTATAGCTGGCAAGTCACTCGGGCGTATTATTACATATGTTAACGTTTAAAACCGTACCATGGGTGTTTCCAAAGAAATTAATCTACAACACCAATTATTGACAAATAACGATAAGGATAAAACAGATGATCAAGCTACCACATCAAATATAAAGAATGGCGAAAATACCAAAAGAACGAAATGGAAAAGAGGAATAGAGTTTCTGCTTTCACTCGTTGGATACAGTGTTGGGTTGGGCAATATCTGGAGATTTCCGTACCTGTGTGCTAAAAATGGCGGAGGTAAAGAGTCTTGTTAAAATAGATATAGGATTTGATTATTCTTGTAGCTTTTGTAAACTCGTGAATTAGGAGTTGTTTCTTTTTTTCGAAAACATTCACAAGTTTAACCTTTCCATATTAAATGGAACATGCCAACAGTTAATCCCATTTTCCATACTCGTTTTCGTGGCGTTCCCGCGCCTTTTCACGTCTAATGCCCAGAATAAACAAATGGCACTCATCAAATTTGATGTAGAAGCTCGTTGCGTGATTGTCTCAACTACATCCGATGATGAACATTTTCTGCTAAGGTAAACCAGAGGTAAACAAACTAATTGGCCGAGACTTTAAAATACAAGAACTTTGTGTATAGGTTTCATTACATCAAATAATGACTAATATAAGATCGACGATGGGCATTTTCTGCTATGGCAATAAACAGTTTGGTTACTAGATGCCTTAAACAAAGATAAATTTGCAAGTAATTAACTTGGAGCAGACTTGTCGAGTTCCAAAAAGGCGTTAAATGTATCACTTTAAAGTAGCTAAGTCTCTAACTCAATATCATCCAAAATCTCCAACATTCAAAACGTGAATTATTTGCCAATTTAAATCAACATTGATGTTGTGATCTTACCGGGAAAAGATGGGCTTCTGATATCCAATATTTAGGACAAAATAAACATTTTACCAATGGTACACGAATCGTGTACTATAATGCTTTTCAGCGCCATTTGTAACAAGGGACTCGGAAAACCAGGCTAAGCATATTCAACAGGTCTTGTCAAACGTTGACATCATATTCTTATCTGGAGAACATGCGCAATAAATACTATCGGTGTAGACTGAAAAAAACAGACGCTAGAGATTTCCATTCGATTGAGACTTCTGGCGTATTTCGCCGAACATAACTGATTAGAAATTAGAGTAAAAACAGAAACTATTGAATGTAAATCAGTTTATATACATTCATATTACATTATTATATGCATTGCGACCCATTTGTGTCAATGTATAGATCCCAAATATTAGCGATTTAGCTCCTTTAAGTATTAGACATGGACGCACTATAGATTAATATTCAGTTTTGCGTTCTTAAAGGTGTCCATGTCAGTTTCTACATTCAGACATTTATACAAGTAGGCGACCTATTGAAGTACATGAATGAATCACGACAATGAGCTATAAATTGATTTTTTTTTATGAATTGAGTCATACCTAACAGACATAATTATCTGTTACGGTGTTTTTTAAGAGAGTAAGTGTGATTGAATGTTAATGGTATGAATCGGGTATCATATTTATCGGGCAATAAAGTGGACGAAATCTTAGTCAATAATACTTGCTCTGCACAATTTCTAAAAAAAATTAAAAAAAAATACTTAAATTCAGCATTTACAATTGAAATATTTTTTCACTTTAATCTTTGGAGACCCCCAGCCCCAGCTGGCGAAGGCGCCTGCTGCTAATCCTAACGCCCGTGCGTTAATCCAGCCCTGTCCTACGGCCAGGAGTGCTCTCATTACTGTGTATGAAGGTTATTAATTTTGAACGATATCGATACCGAGGCAGTTATCAACATTTTCACAGGTCAGAAAGCTGGAAGGAGACAGGAAACTTCTTAAGTGGGTGATTGACAGTTACACTATCCAGTTAGAATCAGCCTGCTGTATCGTTAAAACCTATTTTGCACAAAAATACTTATAACTACGTAACCGTGACGAAAGCCAAAAAAATCGCATTGTTTGAAAAGGCTTATGCTGATTATCATGTGAATTTCATATAAGATGTTTTAAGTATAATCAAAATGTCGACCTAGTGTTTAAAGTCCTACTGCATGACGCACGCCCGTCTTCATTAGCCCAGTTGGTGCAAACAGACAGGATATGGTATTAAACCCAATTTCGCAGGATTTGAGCATTGAAATCATCGGTTCCAGTTTATAACCAAACCGACCGGAAAGTTCTCTAAATTTAATCAACTGCGATATAACCTTCAAAATCCCCCACCATAACCCCAACCCCGTCATCGAGGGCTTTCGGAACGAGCAGCCTGCGATGACCGAAATGGAAACATTTCTATCAAAATCTCCCACCATAACCCCAACCCCGTCAATGGGACTTTTCGGAAACAGCAGCCTCCGGTGACCGAAATCGATATGTTGCTATAAATCAGGGTGCACCGATGAAACTTTATGGACTGAAAAAAATGCAGAAACATAGTAAATTGATACACAAGATTAAACTCAGTAATTGTGTATCCATTAAATTGTACCTTCTGTTATTATTTTTTTCTCTCCCTTCCCGTCTGCCCTAAAAGTCAGATTGCCCAAGAATTAGGGGACCCATCTGACCTCTGGCCTGTACGCCAATGTAGTCTGTTATTATAGGCTATATTCTTTCATAACTAGTTTCCAGGTGTTTTTTATTACTATTTCATCATTTCTCAATACCCATATTTAGAGACTACCAAATCCTTTCTGTGTATTTCTATTACCCTAGGTCTGTTCAGGCCATGAGAATAAGATCTGAGAAGCATTGTATTTGTACACAACATTGACTAGAAATTTAACATAATTATGGCTGTAAAAATGAAAAAAAAACAGCAATTGAAATAGTCACTGATAAATGTCAAATGTAACAAAGAAAATGCATGTAATTATAGAGCGTATAGCTCCGCTCTGTATAATCTTAAACAAGTCAGAATGGGTCTTAAAGAACGTATTGATGCAATATGAATGTATATAAATATATAAATTTATTTTATGATCAGTAGTGGAATACCGCGTTTTATCAGTGAAATAAAAGTGTTATTCCACTGGCTAGCAGTAGTCCATGTTGTTTTTACCTCAAATGATTGTAAAATCATAAAATAAATAGAACATTTGTCGTTTTGTCGTGAATAAGATATTTTATTTCATCTCTAAGCAAGAAAACATTTATATTTTCACTCATGCTACGCATTCTTTCTTCTCGATGAAATAAAATATGTTATTCACTCTAAAACGACAAATATCCTCTATATATACATTCAATTTTTAAATGTATACAAATATATACATTCGATTTTTAATGAGATATATCCAATGTCAGTTCAGACTCTGCCTCTGGTGTTTTCTTTACAAGGAATGTATTTTCTTCGTATTTGTCAAGTGAACCATTATGTGAGAAGTTTGTGCTTCATTTTTATGTGAACCGGTATTGTTGTTCTCACCTGCTGTTTTGGATGAGGGGAGATGTTATGCGAGTCTGTGCTTTGTTTTAGCATGATGATCTTTGTAATCGGAATCAACGTTTTGTTACACCCTGAACACATGATCTTTTATTTTCGATACGCTCGTGTTCGTTTCTCCGAATCGGGTCTGTCTGCTATCGTAAGACACGACGGCGATGAAGATCAATATAAGTATGTTTTCTGCAATTTCCAATAATGATATCCGATCGATCAAACCGGAAATCGATAGTAGCTAAATACGCCGTTCACTAAAAGCGCAACTAAAATAACAAGACTTGCAGAAAAGGAATATTCGAGAACCTCCGAATCAATAATCAAGGCAGGTACAAATTATCAAAACCACCGAATCAATAATCAAGGCAGGTACAAATTATCAAAACCAAAACACTAATAGAACGTAAAGTGGAACAAGAAAGCGATATCTGTATTCGGAAATTAACACAAATTAAATCTGGAATAAAGAAACAAGAGCACGCGAATCCTTTAAAAATTCTTGTTCGGATCCAAGTAAAATTTCTAAAGAGTACTCGGGCCCGGTTAATTGGTTTAATTTTTTACTCCGATCCCACAAATCCCACAAAACGCTCATCCGACGAAGACACGTTTTAATTAGGTTCCGAGTAAAATACAGAATAAAATGAGACACCGAGAATATGTATAATGATGATGCAGATTGATATGGCCCACGGGCTATGTAAACATTTTAATTCGAGTCCAAGTGAAATTCATTTAAACATGAGAGATCTCGAGAGTAGACTAGTGCTAGTCCAGGCATTTTAACTCAATTCCGCGTCCTTCCGGGCAGTTTTTGGAATAGAAATGCCGAATTGTAAAATTCAAATTTTCACGCCAAAACTGGCCACCATCTTGAATTATTCCCCAATATTGAAACCGCGGTATAATTAATCACCAAAAATGTGTATGGACATGAATTCAGCTACCCCGAAAACATATATTTTAATACCAAACTCGATCATATTATGATAATTGGTTGACAATTGAAATTTTCAAGTCAAAACCGGCAGCCATTTTGGATTTTAGCCAATTTCACCTATTTGGACACAGATTTCGGACTGGGATTTTTTGGGAGGGTGATAATATAAGTCTAAACCGACCATAAACCGTGGTCCGCATTTCTTATTGCACCAACTGCCCACACTAATATTATCTTGCCTAGACTATATGGGATGTTGGGGATTTTAGTGTTAGGTTGGTTTGATTATATGCGATGAAGCAACCTGAACATAATGGACGTTTCTTTATTTTTCTATATTGTCACATATACCCATGTATCTAGTTCCACCAGTAGGCTATAATGCCCGAATAAAGTTATTCCACGCAGTCAGACTTGCTGTTTGATTTTTTAGTCAATAGAAATTTGTTATATCCCGAGATTTCACTTCCCGAAAATTTGATGAAACAAATAATGATGATGATGCAAGACAATGGAAATTGAAACCAGATTAAATGATCTATAGCAGGTATCTTTCGAAACTCGGGAGATCAGGTATCCGTCAAAATGGTCAAATTGTAATATAGTCTCTGATCCAAAAAAAAAAAGAAAAAAAAAAAGGTAACAACAATGATGTCAATAATTATAGAGGGATAACCTTAAGGTGTGTATTTAGCCAAATTTAATTATTTTGTATTGTTATAAATAATCATCTGCTTTCTTTAGCTATATAGAATTATGTTCTCTCAAATACGCAGTTCGGTTTTCAACCCAAAAAGCACAGTTGGTTGCATTTTTGTTTTACAAATGATAGTAAATAAACATCTGTCATCGCAAGAAGTTATATTGTGCTTTTATTGACTACTCAAAAGCCTTTGACAAAATCGACAGAATATTTTTGTTAGATAAACTCTAACTTACTGGTGTAAGCTCAAAATCAATCAGATGTATAAAATCAGGGTATGATAATGCAAATATAGCCTACGTGTAAAATGTTAAATATTCAGAACATTGTTCATCGTTTTCTGGAGTTAAACAAGGTGATGATCTCTCAGCTCTCTTATTTTTACTATATTTGAATGATTTTAATACTTATATTAATAATAATGCCGTGGATTTAGTTAGTTAATCTGATATTCTGATATTAACCTCTATTATGTATGCTGACGATACTGCTGTAATGATAACGCCAGCAAAGGGGTTGCACCATTTACAAGATAAATTACTTTCTTATTGTAATAAATTGTTATATTTCAACGAGGATATTTAAATTCTTAAAACTATATATAACTTCATGTATAATAATAACAGGGTTGAATGTGTAAAAACCTTTACATACTTAGGAATAGAGCTGTCTTCAAACGGTAGATTTAATAATACGCAGAAAGCTCTATCTGTAAAAAGCTCCAAAACGCCTTTATCAATTATTTAATGTTTTTAAAAATGTATACTTTAATTATAAATAAGAATGGTTTTTTTTATTTGATACCCAATCTAATTAAAATATAGATCTATATTTCGTTTCGTTTTTTATACTTTCGATGGCCTACTCTACATGTAGATCTAACAACCAATTAGCGACCACCATGTATTTTTTATCTCCTTTTGCTTTGTTTTGATTTCTATTGCCGCTAATGTCTACCCACAGTTCCGCGCAAAAAAGGTCAAACGCTCGATTCGACTGACCATTTGATTGGCTGACCCCTCATTTAAGCAGAACACGAGTTAAATAACAACGCTTCCAGATCCAAGTGTAGTAAAGACAAGTAAAATCGAAATTTTGAACTATAAAAACGAAACGAAATTGGACCTGTGTTTTAATAAGATTGTTTGATACCTATGCTGGTTCTATTTTATCTTATGCATGCCCTATATGGGGCTTCCATACCTCACCAGACATCGAACGATTGCATCTAAAATTTTGCAAAAGAACTCTATGTGTAAAAGGTCCGCCCCAACACCAACAGTCTTATCTGTGATCTCGGCAGAGTACCACTTCCAATTACACGACTTCGACATATAGTTATATATTGAATACATATTATTTCATTTAAAACAAGTCTATTACATCAGCTGTACAATGCTATTCTTCACGATGTGTCCATGACGAATAAAAACGAAGGTTTTAATTAGGCGAATAATATTAAATGTATATTGGGATCTCTTGGATTTGCCTCAGTTTTCAATGATCAATATGTTGTTTTACCTGTATATAATGAACTTAAACTTAGATTAAACGATCAAAAATTTGAAGACTGGAATCAAGATCGCTCGAAATATTCAAAGCTAAATTATTACAACCTTTTCACCATTGCCCTATCACAAAAAGAATATTTATCAAAATCTTAAATCATAATTACTGTGTATCTTTGTCCAAATTTAGATGTTTATCACATAATTACTTGTTTAGCGAAACGGGAATACACGATTAAATTACCAGAAACGATAGAATTTGTAATTTATGCAATCTGAATGCAATTTAGAAAACGATGAAGAGGAATATCATGTTTATGTGTTGTCCATAAGGAAATTACCCTTCACTTCAAAAATTTATAGATATGTCTTCCACATTGCTAGTTATTTTAATCTCATTAGCAAAATATACACATTTATCATTTATTTAGCGTCAGTCTATTCTAGAAGCTATTATTTTGATAGGTGAATTCAGTTTACCGTGGCTTCATACGGTATGTAAAATATGCCAGCTTACATAATCGGATATTATTATTATATCAAAGCATATGTAAGCATATCTTACAAATAAAATTGATATTTATAGCATTCTATACGGTACATGAACATTGCAATAGGCCTATTGTACACGCAAAACATAAATGTATAGAAAATTGGCAATGCTTGGATGAGATTTGACGTTTAAGTACTGAAATATATTGTCCAATATGGTGTGCAAATAGACTAAAGTCGCCAAAACTGGGCTAATGTAATATGTAAAGAGTGATTTTTTTAAGATTCTGTCTATTATATACCGGTAATTGATTATAATAGGCCTACCTCAAGAATAAAATGGTTGCATGTTATCTTTTTTATCACACATTTTTGGCAGATCAAATATACCAGTAGGCGGAAAAAAATATGAACATTTTTTTGAAATAAAATATTATCATACATTTTTGGGGGGAAAAAATTGAAAGCCAGTGTGAGCCCTGTATTCTTCCCTAGAAATGAATTATGAAATTGGGTTTAACGCCCTACCGTTCTGCTCCGACTGGGCTAATGAAGACGCGTCTTCACTAGAAAAAGTACATACTTTCCTAACTTGTTTTATTCTATTTGCACTTTTAACACCTTTCCACTTTTATTTATTTATTTATTGTACTTGCTATACGTTATGTTACTTAGAGCAATAATAACAAAAAAATAATTACTAACATTTAAACATGCATTATGCAAGAGCTAAATCTGCCTATTGCAGGTCTTTTTTAGGCCTGAAATGTTTTCTAAAGTATTAGACATTAATTAACTGATCCATGCCTTAATCAACTCTCGATGGCATCAGATTTCTCCGATATTAAATAGATTAGAATGGTTCAGCGATACTTTGATTTAATCAAATGTGGAGGACCGAGACTTAGCTTCGATCAACCAGTACGGTAGTTGAAATTATTGCACACGTCTGTCAAACCTTCAAAGGCTAATATCTTCGCTTGCAATAGAGTAATTTGAATGAAATTTTCAAATTATTCATTTTACATCATCTACTTTCATACTATACTATTCAAAAAAAGTAGGGGATATTTGATTTTGGGGGCATAATACTAAAATATGCAAATGACTACGAAAAAAGTCACTATAGAACCTAACAGAAGAAACATTTCCAGTTACATGTGACGCCCAAACGCACCAATAGCTACCGCATGGAATGCAGGTGATGCTTGGGATCATCATGGGGGTCCAACCCAAGATTTGCACGACTCTGACTTTGAATGTTACAGTCATTGTGGCATTGAATTCCAGGGTGGAAACATCAGTTTAATTGTTTTAGTGACCAGAAAACAAATTTTGATATGCGTCGGCTTACCCAAAATGAAAGGTTACGTGCCCTTGGCATGCTACAGATCGGCACAACACAGGCGGTTGTGGCGCGGACGATGAATGTTTCTCAGTCTGTCATAAGCAGGCTATGGTCCAGATACCGTGATACACAATCTGTACAGGACAGACCACGCTCAGGTCGACCAAGGGCGACAACTCAAGCCCAGGATCGATTTATCCGTACCTTGGCCTTGAGAAATCGTGTCATCACAGCAAATCAGATCAGCGCTCGTCTTCAAACAGTCACTGGTGTGAGAGTGAGTGGCCAGACGATTCGGAATCGACTGCATAGGGGTCACCTTCGCGCCCGACGTCCTCGCGTGATCACTTGTTTGAGAGATCATCACATTCAGACAAGACGTCGTTGGTGTAGGGATCGTCAACACTGGGATAATCGACGCTGGAGAAATGTGATGTTTTCAGATGAGTCAAGGTTCACTGTTGATTTTTTGGACAGACGTAGGAGGGTGTGGCGTCGTCGAAACGAGCGCTTCCAAGACGTTAACGTCATCAGACATGATCGATTTGGGGGTGGTTCTGTTATGGTGTGGGGAGGCATCACTGTTGCTGGAAGAACGGCTTTACATGTTGTTGCAGGGCGTGTTACAGGCCAGTACTACCGGGACAACATCTTGGCAGTCCATGTTGTGCCGTTCGCACGACGTCATGGCCGCCGTTTCATCTTCCAGGATGACAACGCAAGATGTCACAGGGCCAGGATCGTTACAGGTTACCTCCAACAACAGAACATCACCACATTACCTTGGCCAGCACTGAGTCCCGACCTCTCCCCCATCGAGCATGTCTGGGACATGCTTGGACAGAGGTAACGTCAACGTCAACAACGTCCTGCCAATGTCTAAGAACTTGCTGCTGCGTTGCAACAGGAATGGGACAATCTGGACCAAAATGACCTTAGACGTCTCATTAGGAGTATGCCACGTCGGATCAATGCTTGTTTGGCAAACAGAGGAGGATTTACCCGTTACTGACTTGGTTGTGATGCTGTGGTAACTTTGCTGTTTGACCCCGAGTATCATTTTACCCTTATAATGGCCAGTCTGTGCCTTACTTAGTCTAACGATCATTTGGAATAAATCGATGAATGTGAACTTCATTTCATTTTGTCATTTGTTTCTTCGTCAGTTTCATTAGGTGACTTTAATAACACTTAAAAATCAAATATCCCCTACTTTTTTTGAATAGTATATTATAGCAAGAATGGCTAGTTCTTTATCTAAATCTAACATAATGTATCTTTAATATCATCGGTATATATGTTTAAATCAGGGATCTTGTAGAGAACGTGTGTTCTTCGGAATATTCAATTACTGTTTTCATTTAACTAACATCTATTTCATTAACTATTGGTCGAGAAAGTAAATGGGTACATCAAAGGGATCTCTGCGGAAAACTCGATTTTGCAGCAGCAGCCAGAAATTTGTGAAACATTTCTGCCTATTTCCTAACCCTCATGTCTTTAAAAGAGCCCCACAGAAGTTGTTGGTAAGAATGCCTGCGATATTTGGAATGAAATAAATATTCCAATTGATCAGTATTTAATTTTATATTTTCAGCCGTTTTCCTAATTCCGTATCTGATTTTTATGATATTGATAGCATTTCCACTGACTTTTATGGAATTGACGCTTGGGCAGTTTTCTGGTAAGAGTGCCTACGATGTTTGGAATATTTGTCCGGCGCTAAGAGGTAATTTCATTCTATTCATAATCTGTTGTTCTATACTACAATTATTGGAACGCAGTTTTAAAAACTCATGTTGTCAATTTTACAAAAATATTAAATCATTATGGATTATACTAAAACGATATCCCCTGTTACGGCGGTCACACGGCTACATTGTTAAAGAAGATCTGACAAGACGCAAACCGTGCTTCCAGTGTACCTCTTGAACTCGACCATCCGTCCATATTCTGCCCATCAACAGCAGACTTTAATCACAAAACGGAGTTGGCTATAGGTATACAAAAATTATTGACAAGAAACAAAGGTCTACTATAGATGAATAAAATTGACATATAAATAGTGCTATGAAATGGGCCCTCAAACGTGAACAGCCAGTTACTTCCCTTTCCTTTTGACTGTATTAAATTTTCAACTATTTGAAATCTGCAAATGAAAGACCATCAAATCATAAACAGTATGATATTTAGTTAGAAATCGAGTGAATTATTAGTAAATCTGTTTTAACTGTCGTCGAGGGGCGGGGGTAATGAATTTCCTGCCAAACTCTAAAAGCAAATGACAATCATCGGCTTATATTAAAATTTCCAGAATAGATGCCATCGAGATGCGGTATACAGTTTTATCTATATGGTTTTATCATTGTCTTATATATTATATTATAGGATTGGGCGTGTCCATGAGCTGTGTGGCTGGGATGTGCAGTCTGTATTATAATACTATTCTTGCATGGATATTATACTACCTGGTCCATTCCTTCATGTCACCTCTACCATGGACAACTTGTGGAAATACTTGGAATAGTGACACCTGCTTTGTACGAAATAAAGAAAATGTATCGGAATCGAACCATACCTATTATACAAATGGAACTGTATCAAATATCCAGAACATGTCAAATAAGTTCCATACTGCCCCAGAAGAATTTTGGAAGTAAGTACTTCTTCACAACCTCGGGATTCACCTTTCTTTGATCTAATCCTCAATAACTAAGTAATGACAGAATCACCCGGCTCTCGATGTAATTATTGAACAATTAATGAGACAACATAATCTTGGTGTATTAGAGATCCATGGGTAAAGGACGGGGGGACTGCACGCTGGTATCATCCTAGCGGCCAGCTGACGTCAAATTACAGAAAACTGCAACAGGAATTTCCCTTCAAACGACTCCTTTAACTTGTGTTAATAAATTTAAGTAGCAATGCTGCACCAAGGGCGCTAATATGTATCTCCAGTTTCCCATTCATATAATCCATTTAGATACCGGATGAAAAAAAACCCTAACTATGGAGTTTCATTGGTCTGAAGGATGGATAGGGACGCTTTTTACGAACCCAGCCCCCAGTAAAATGTCAAATCTCATTTGTTAAAGAATATTAAAGATGTATTTTATAAGAGCGCTAAATCTGCCAATTGCCGTCAAATCTTATATAAATTATTATCTAGCCATTTATTCACTTGACAAACCCGTAATCCTCTCGCTAAATCATTGGATGACTAAGATTTAAACGGATTTGAAAACCCACAAGATTTAACGATAAAATGGATAATCCAGACTTAGTCTCGGTTGTCAAGTACCGTTTCTACGATAATAAACAATCTACGCTACATCTTCAAACAGTCATAATTTCGCCCGAATATAGTAATTTGTCTATTTTTGAATTATTAGAGCAAAAACGGTAACCTCTTTATCTAAATCTTACACAATGCATCTTTAATATGTTCGATTTTAACGAAAATGCAAACGCACACTTACAATTATTTGTTAGCTACAATGAAACATATATTCTTTTATCCAGTAACAACCTACTTGTGATATCGAGTGGATTGGGTGATTTTGGCACCATGCAGTGGCATCTAGTAGTTGCTCTAATTGTAGCTTGGGTTATAATATGGCTCTGTATAATCAAAGGTGTAAAATCAGTTGGGAAGGTAAAATAATACTTGTATCTACACGGTCGTCCCAAAAAATGAAACTACACACCGGGGCGTGTCAAGGAATTTTAGCAGCAGGTGGTCCAAGGTCTGAGACATTATTTCTACTCATTAGTGCACACATGTATAGGATTGGCGTGGCACCAAAACGGCGAAAATGCTTCGAACATTATTTCGAATAATGAAGGGGAAAACCTGCTCTTCATGAACAGGGGAGGATCCGGACTCCCTGCACCCACCTCCGTTGAGACGCACCTGACACGCACGTATAGACTTTCAGTAGATACTCGAAAGTCATGGATAACATTTCTCTTGGACGTCAGTATATGTACTTTGTACGCTAGATGTTTCCTGAGATATAAATAATAAAGCCTTGGGGTATTCCCATATAGCCAAAGAAAATATCGATATTAAATTAACTCCTCCGAATTGACCCCATCGTTTTCCCTGGAACGTCTCTTCTTTCGATATGAATATTATCTGGTAGTACAGAACAGAATCCATCTTGACTTTGTGAGGTTTCATTAATGTAGCAACTGTGTGTATGTCACATTTCATTACCATCATTGCAATAGCCAACAAAACTAAATTGTGCAAGACTACTGTCATCGTTAACTATTGATCAATTATTATTGTTCATATTCCGGCTTAACTACATACTCTGTTAATAATTCTGACTGCCAGTGTTTACATTGTCATACACTCCAAGTCCGGCCAAGTACTGTTTTCTCCAGGCTATTGCGGCCCATGGACCCACGCCTATAAGGACTTAGGATGGAAGCCCCCCCCCCACCCAATCAAGAATTGCTTCCGCTCGCCCTTCACTCAATTGTATCCAAGAGTTTGAATTTTAGAACGTTATAAAAATGTACATTGACCAAAAATTTATTTTTCATTAAAAATATGTTTTGGAATCAAATGAATGACTTAATAAATCCCGAGGCAACATGTGAAATCCGACCGCTTAAAACATTCCAAATATCATGGTTGCACAAATCCATCCAATCATCAGGTTATTTTCATTTATCTGTAGGTTGTGTATGTGACAGCAACCTTCCCATATCTCATCCTACTAATATTATTAGTAAGGGCGCTTACACTACCTGGTGCAATGAAAGGTATACAGTTTTACATGATTCCAGATTTCAGTAAACTTCTATACATTCAGGTATATATAAGATATTCACCGAAAATTTACTGAATGCAAACAACTGGTTATCGACTGGTTAACTTTAAAACTAGTCCATTTGTTGTGGTGTTTTAAGACAGAGATTCGTATACTTTAAAGTATGAGTTGAGCTTGCTTATTTTGAGCATGTCGTGGACAGTAATGTATGCCGCAACGAACGCTTCATATACGTACTTTTTTTTATAAACCTACCTATCCACGATCTTTGAGATCCCTGAAAACTTCATTTCTGCTACATGTTGTAGTCTTAAAATGTGATTATTTATCTCCAAAGATCAGATTTCTTTGCAATAGTTGTTGTTGTTATTCCCTACCCATTAATTACTGCCCTCTTAACACCTTGTTTGTAATTTATTGTTATGAAGAAACTTAAGTCTCGGTGTTTGCATAATGAAGTTTGTGGATAATTGAATTCTTATCTGAATCTGATAACTCTCTGGGATGTATCAAGCATATTAAACGGCCAGCTTCTTCACCTTATTTTAAACACTAAACAGTCTTATTTACTAAATGGAAATTAGAATGCGAATTATTGTTCTCTTACAATCTTTGAGAATTACATTTATGATCATCACTTGTATTAAAAGTCAACGAATTGTTAAATCTATAAATTGCGTCAGTTAATCATCTCAGTAAGTAATTAGTATGTGTTGTACATTGTAGGTATGGACAGAATCCCTACTGCAGATGTTTTTCTCAATGGGAATGGGATGGGGTGTATTCATCACAATGGCCAGTTATAATAAATTTAACCATAATGTCATGAGGTTAGTATATACGTATACTAGATAATTGTTGTTATAGTGATTTCAAAATCTCGAAAATCTATTATTTAGCATAAAAGAATACGACTAAGGAAACTTCAACAGTTATGAAACGCGAAAAGTGAACTGATGCAATGCAAAAAAGGAAGAAAAAAAAACCAAAACAAAGAAGAAATAAAGCGAGGTTCGGGTCCTGCGTTTCTGAAACGATTGGGGTAATGAAGGCCTTTACAGGTGATGCAGCTGAACAAACAAGTTTTGTTGGACTTCTTTAGAATCGCGAGAACCTATAATATAGTAAAATTAATCGAGATAATATTGACTTTATGCTAACTAGACATAGGGGATACACGTCGACATGGATTTAGTTATAGGAAACTACTTTTTCTGAAATATGAAATTGGTAATTTATTTTCCAGGTTATTGCTAAAGATATCCGAATAATTGAACATATAAATCTTTTCATTGAATGATTGTTTTCAGAGATACTATTATATATTGTTTTGCTGGAGAAGGTACAAGTTTCTTGGCTGGATTCGTTGTTTTTTCCGTGCTTGGTTTTATGTCTCATGAAACTGGACTGGACATCGTTGATATTATTAGAACAGGTGATAGTAGTATTTAAATGTAGTATCAATCATTCAAAATGCCGGTATAAATGCGTTCTTTAAGCTTAATCAAAAGTATGTGGTTCTGTTTTTTAAGAGAAATAGGGTTTAACGTCCACTCAACACAAACTAGGTCATTTTGGGACTAACATATGGTTCAATTTTATATCAACAATTCGCTTGTGCGTAGGGGTCTTTAGCAGTGGGAGGAAACCGGAGAACCCGATGAAACCTAAGAGGTTGGACAGGCGACCCTACTCCTTGTCAAGTACAGCCGGGGAATCGAAACCACACCAGTTGACTCAATAACAGACCTTATGATACAGCGCGCACGTGCTAACCATTCAGAGAGTCTTAGAAGTCAAGGATGTCAGAGTATCGGGTACTACATATCTGGTAATAGGTTTTGTAACAACCATGAGACATAAATGTTACTAATCCAATCTGAGCTGTTAGTTATAAATTCAGAAGCGCATTCAAATTCACGAGGACATCATAGAAAATATGCATACAGTGTGACTTGCGCCCTGTCTACTCTGGTTCAGAAATTTGGATTATATATGTATTATAAGATAAACAATTATGTGGGTCGTTTTCTGGGTAATATAAATGTCAATTAATTTCCAATGGTTAACATACAGATTAAAATGTTGATGATGGCGAGATATCTCTTTTGTTTAATGCGTTTTGATTATATCAGGTCCGGGTCTGGTATTTATTGCCTATCCTGAAGCGCTAAGTCAACTTCCAATACCACAGTTATGGGCAGTTCTTTTCTTCTTGATGCTCACACTGGTAGCCTTGGACACAATGGTAAGTTTTAATAATCTCTGCAAGCAAGGTATATATCTTACTCGTCACTATATACCCGGTCGGTCCAATGCATTTTTCTTGTACCTCTAGTGAAATGTTATATTTTTCTGTTGTTCCATTATTGCTGAATATGTTATGTTTTAGGTGTTAATGTATTTATTGTAACCTGTATTATTTCCACGCAGTTTGTTGATGTAGAAGTATGTGTAACAACTATAGTTGATCTGATACCAAAACCCACAGCTAGAATAAGGTTGATAGTGACCAGTTCTACATGCTTCTGTATGTTTCTTGTATGCTTGATATATACCACACAGGTATAGTTAACGAAGTTTAACCTTTTGATCTCTTAATTACTTGAATTACACATATTAAAGACGTTTGTCAACTAAGGGAATTATTTCGTCCATACCGAAATTTTTGCAGTGTATGAATATTAAAATGATTGTGTACAGCCTCTTTCAAATATAAATCCATCAAACAATCATAAAGTATTCTTGAGGTAAGCTTAAGTCATGATGTGAAAGTTTGATAGCTAAAATGTTCGCTTAGTGGGCAAAGGTCTTTAAGTCAGTTTACGTTTATGGAGCGGAATTCACGAGTATTTTCTACACATTAGCCTAGTAGTGTTTCTTCTGATATAATATGTTCTTATTTACATTTATAGTAAATTGGTCATTTACCTGTGTAAAAATTATCCCTCTATAAGTCTTACTTCTCCAATATTGCTGTTAGAATATGCTTTATTCTCTCTCGTATTCTTTATATTAAAACTCATTGTAGACTAGCAAATTAGTTTTGTAAATATTTCGACGTGATGAAAACATCAAATTCTAATAATCCTCGTTAAGGTAACTGATGCTGTTTATTTTACAATACCGATTCTGACTTATATGATAACTAATAGTTGTATAAAATCGCGCCTTATTTCACAACGCAACCTCAACACATTATCAGGGAGTACATAAGACAAAGTAAGCTTGCGATAGAATGGCTAGATTGTTGTAACGTTGTGTTATGGGTTTATTGTTTTGGTCTCGTTTTAGAAAAATACATATTATTGTCAGTACTGTAATAGAAACCCATTTCATCCTGCAATAACTTGATATTTGTATTTATGTAGTTTGCTTTGTCGTATCCTTACTCTAATACTGCCATAATGTGATATTATCATGTTATTGAAATTTCAATATCAGTCACAATATAATTTTAAACATCACCATATATTACCATAAGGAACTTTAGAATTATGTCGCTTTTAGAGTGAAATGTTTACGAAACTAAGCTATAATCTGCTTTAATATCAAACATATGACAATGAATCAAGCGTAATAAGAAATACAATAACAGTTCTATCAGCAACATTTAAGAAATAAGATGGGTTTCTGATATCTATTATTTAAGACAAAATATACATTTTACCATAAGGGACTCGAAGAATCAGGCTAGACATATTCCTCAAGTTATGTCAAACGGTGATCCAATTTCTAGGTCCCAAATATTAGCGATTTAGCTCCTTTAAGAGTTAGGATTATGCCGTGAATTCTGCTCCATACCCGTTTACTTTGTTGTCTTATCTTCTATTTTAAGTGGAGGTATATAGCACCAAGAAAGTTTTGTTTTGTTTTATACTTGAAACATGAGACACCACTTTCATATCATATCATATAAACATAGTCTATATTTAGTGGTGATACCTCCACTTCAATATTTAGACCTTGAAATATAATAAAAAATAAACTGATAAATTCCTTTTATGGTGTAGCCATGGCTATTATTTTGAATATTGTTGTTATATGTATATTGCTTTAATTTTAAGTTTTAAAAAATGAAGCTTCCCTCGGTATTAGTTGAAGACAACCGTGTCTATTCTCCGCACAGGGAATATAGGAACTAATATTTTCAAATTTGTAAACGCCATAGTTAGTTTCTGAAATAGCCCGTGTGTCAAGTTCAGGGCCTATTTTAATTAAGGTTTTATTGGCTAAGCACGGTTTCTGGGGTTTTATGGTTCTGTGAAAAATTCCAGAATCTGACTTCCGTAAATCACGCTTACACTTTTATAACCAAAATACAACAGAATTAACATATTTATATGTATAACCGTGTGTCAGTATCATTAACTGCCCAAAGAAACATCCAAAGGTAAACGAACCTTTACTGTCACCTGCACCTGACCATGTTCTGCTCTGTAATGTTCATGTTTTAAGTAGTGGTAGGAATACGTCAACAAAACAGAAATTGAAAGTGGTCGATGGTCATATTGATAGCTAAGTTTCCCCACACAATCGTGCCAGATTCACAAAGCTACATACAAATTTTTTCAAATCGTGGATTTCAGATTTTCAAAGCACGTTCGGGTCTGTAGGCATTTTATAGGCCCTGTTCAAGTTGATAATGATCGGCTTGGTAGTAGTCCCATAGTAACTGTTTAACGCCGATAACTTATTCTTAAAATGTATAACTGTCTTTGCACAAATGTAAACGGCCATAAAGATGCATTATGTAAGCGCTTCAAATGTTGTTTAAATTATTATTTCGACATTTATTGACATGACAAGCCCATAATTAACTCTCTAGACAACAGGATGGCTTGGATATCTATTTTTGAACGACCAGCTCAATCTTACATAATGCATCTTTAATCGTGTCGCACTCTGGGTATATTCCGTAGTGTTGTAGAGTGCATTATACACACGAATGCATTATTATTTCAAATCAAAAGAATTTTCAAGGCTAACGACCGGATAACTATGGCAACAAGTAGTATGAACAATAGCCATGGATACGCCATATTAGCATGTCTACAAAACAACCTTTACAATATATTGTCACAGACTTGGAGAGGCAGAATTTGATGTATAATTTTTCTTATGAAAGATGCATTTGAATTAAATTGTAAATTTACTAATGGAAAGATGTTCTCTTTTCTTCCTTCTTTGCAGCTATGTCCTTTATTAACTATGCATTTTAATTTTGTTTCTGAAATTGGTGAATAAAAACTTATTCCATCTCAATATTTACACATTTACGGGTACTAAATTTGCAGTTACTGTTGGTGAGTGATAAAAATTACAAAATTGAGGTTATTTCTGTCGATATTTTTAAAAATATAACATTGCATTAAAAGGGTGTGTGTGTTTTGAGGGAATGGGGGGTGTGGGGTGTCGGTGGCGGTGGGGGTGGGGGGTAAGCTGCTGACAATAAACCATGATGTAAGGTATGAATAATAATTTAAAACATTAAACTTTAATTAAATTAGTAAGCACTCGTAACATAAGTATACAAAGGGCAGAACTAGAAAACAAAAACGCCCACATCATGGTTAGAGTTCAATATTTAAATATTTAAAGTGAACATAAACTAAACGCAAAAAAGTGCACATGGTATATGCTTGAATATCTTGTAGTTTAATACTATATAGCCCTGCTCATTCAATGCAGCTTAAATCGAATGAAAATTTAACTGGCAGTTGAAGTAGATTTCACAGGTTAATCAATTAACACATATAACTGTTATGATTGATCAGGGTTTAAGGTTCTTGTTTGGTTAATTAGATTGTTAATGGTTAATAAGACTACATTTTAGTCTTTTTTTCTGCAGGCCAGAAATGAATGTATGATTGAATATCTGACATGCCATTTTGCTCAAATTTCATTTATTACAGGGGAAGACTGAATTCTACACCCTAATAAAGCATTGCAACCTTGCCTCCACACATTATTACACAATTATACAATAACCACGTTGAGCAATGGTATGGATCCGGTATACGATATTACAATGATTGATTGAAAATCATAAGTTAACATTTAACCTATTATCTTTTAGGCAGGTATTTATGTTTTTCAACTAGCAGACTGGTATTTTGCAGCTATCACTCTCCATTTGATTACCATTTTAGAGTGCATTGCTATAGGATGGATATACGGTAAGTTTAGGGCAAAATGTGCATTCCATTATGTTGTATACGTTGTTAAACACTGAAGATGTTTCTGTCTTTTCTTTAGCGGTAAGTCACATACTGTTTGCCGGAAATGTGAAATTTTGAAAGTGAATTGTTCAAATTGACCTTTAATTAGAGTTATACTTTATTTGAAAGGAGGTCCATATGTTTAGTTTATGGAATTGCAGTCAACATACAGCCCACCAGTGAGGCTGTTGACACATATTAATTAATTGCACATTTATATTTTTGTTAAGCATCAAGCAATAACTGAGAAGAAAATGCTGGTGATTGAATTTAGTCAAAATCCCGATGTAGTGAAACTATATTAAGATAGCCACGGACAGCGGCTTATCCGAAAGGGAAACTTGTGTGTTTTTAATATGATAATTCTACATAAATATTCCCTGAATGTGACAGAGATTCTGCTCTATATTTCTCCCAACTGTTTAATGTCAGTAAACAAATGTTTTCTACACTATTTTATATATCAATCTATTATTTAATATCAGGTGCTGATAGATATTTTGGTGACATAGAATTGATGTTAGGAAAACGTCCACCTATACTGTTAAAATATATTTGGTGCTTTATCATACCAATTATTCTGACCGTAAGTTATTTTATATTTGGAACCACGGTCGATCAGTGAGTAAGACGTTAGCCCGCTAATTAGGAGATCTAGGGTTCGCTTCCGGTGTTGGCCGAGAAAGTTTAGCAGGACATTCCGGCATGCCCCCCCCCCTCCTTGAAGTTATTCCAGGCATAGAATATACCCCAAAGATCAAAGAGATTTACCGTTACAGGTTTATAATACAGTAGAACGTTAACTGCTAGTCCATTTCATTTCGAGTCACTCATGTCATCGATTTAACGAAATTAGGAGTCTTTACTTCAAATTGTACAATCTTAAATTGTGTAATATCCTGATTTCTAGCATCCAACTTTCATGTGTTTATAAAAATGAAAACGCCAATTAGAAATGTCTATCTTTGCAGTTTAGCTAAATGGGTTTTTTTATAATTGTGTGTCTATATTGAAAAGGCCTTCGTAATGATATTTTGCAGAATTCCAAGTCATATATTCCCAACACAATTGCATTGAAATATATATATATATATATATATATATATATATATATATATATATATATATATATATATATATTGGTCTTTTCAGGTAATTTTACTGTTCACACTGATCAAATATGAACTACCTACATATAATGACTATCATTACCCAACCTATGCTACAGGTATAGGATGGTTTGTGGCTATTATATCTGCATTACCTATACCAATCTGGATGGTAAAGGAAATACTAGGACAAAAAGGTACTTTGGTTCAGGTATGTCTAGAATTTTAAAGTTAACGGGTTTGTTTGGTTTGTTTTTTTTGTTTTTTTTTTTTAAACACAGATGTTAAAACTTGGAGAAAATGGTCCTCTGATTCAGGTACCTCTACAATCTGAATGTAGTGGGTTGGAGTTTTTTTGGGTTTTTTTTTTTTTCGTTTTGTTTTTTAAGTACAGATATTAAAATTTGTGGATACATGCAAGTAATTGGGTAACGGGGCTTGAATAGACTAAAATTTTGGATTTATGTAATTATCACGGTATGCATGAGGGACAATATTTTCACAAAGCAACTAAATTCTAATTAAAAACAAATAAATAAAGAGAGTGAGAGAAATGGGGTTTCAACGTACTCAACATAAACTAGGTCATTTCGGGACTAATATAAGGTACAATTTTATTTCAATAATATATATAATTTGCTTGCACGTAGGGTATTTGTAGTTGGAGAAAACAGGATGACCCGGAGAGAAATTCCATGAGGTGAGACAGACAAACCTATTCTTTGTCACGTACAAATGTGGGATAGAAACCACGTCACATTATAATTTAAAGCGCACCCCCACCCTACCTCAGGTCATTTATATTGGGGGTATGTATACGCTCCAATCATCTGGCTACTGTCAGGCAAGTGGTATTTTGTTAAGAAATCGACTCCAAAAGGTGGAATATGGTTATTATTTTATTGTCATTTGCTAATTAATTCTTTCCAGAGAATCAAAAATTCATTTAAACCGAATGAAAGATGGGGTCCAGCCAAAGAATACAGGCTAACAAATCAGTATGCAGAGTCTAGTATATGACAATATTATCTTACCCTAGGGATGGCCAACCTTGGGCGCATGCGCCAAACAGGAAGCATCGGATGATCCCTGTAATGATAATAAAGTAGGGCAGTAAGCCTACTCATTTTTTTTAGCAATGTTTTGTTTTTATTATTTCGTGCACATTCTATTTAGCGAATGTTATGTTCTTTCACATTAATATGTTTTCAGTTTAAACAATATGCCCAATGAATCAAACTATCGTCCCATCTATAAAAACATATTTTTTCAAGATGTATGACGGGGTTACATTTGAATTCGTGTATGACACGTGGTATGCAAAAGGTGGGCCACTTAGACTATAATTCGAATTAAGGGAAATATACTGATATTAAGTAATCTTTGATGTTTTATTGTTATCATGATACTCCTTTAATTGATATATTCAAAAAAAGTAGGGGATATTCAGAAACAATACAAAAATGCGGAAATGCAATGCTGTTTTTATAAGAGGTAACCAGTGTATGTTAATAACAGGCCAATTGCCTACACATGAACATAAACAGTTCATATGGGCGGCTTATCTGACGGCCCCATTTCACTCGCAAAGAGATACACTGTCAAAAGTGAAAATGGACGTTTTTGATTTTTGTCTTAATAATGAGTAATTGCTCCTCCAATCCTCAGACATTCAGCAATTCGCCATGGTATGCTCCTAATCAACCGTCCAATCACGATTTGGAGCAATCTGACCCACTCCTCTTGCAGTGCCACTGCCAATTCATGAGTGTTGTCGGTTGACGTTGACGTCGACGAACACGTTTACCGACCAAATTAAACGTACACACTAAAGCAAGATACGCTAAACAGTAAATCTTATGCAAGGACCGATATGAAAGCAAACATGGATAGAATAAACAAGCAAGCGGCGGTTTTCATCAACCCTTCCTTGAAGTGTCAAATTTGACAATGAACCCCTCCCACGTGTGTGGCGCTATTGCGTGTCGCACATGCAGCTCAGTGGTTCTGTTGGGGCGATAAGTTCTTCGTCTGTGAACATACTTTCAAAGCATGTCAAGTGTCCATGACTATTTATCATATCACAACCTGCATAGGTATTCGCATTTCAATATCCCCTACTTTTTTTGAAGAGTATATTTCAAGTTAGACTCAAGAGTTACATTTATTTTAATATTACATGTATAATATTATTATATTTATAGGCACATTTAATTATTGTTTAACATTATTATGTTTATCTAATAATCAAACAAATATGTGCATTTATTTATCAGTTATTTTGATCTAAATGTAAGTTTCAGAAAATTAGATTTATATTACTTAAATAATCAAATAAATGTAAGAGATTTTATTTAGATTAGAGCGAAAGACTTAGTTTTCTATCACACTGGAGTTATCCCCCATCCTTGTTAGCGCTTCGGGTCCATTCTGGGTTTAACGTCCTACACCGATTTGGCAAATGAAGACGAGCATACGTCATCCAGTTTGATATGAGCCTACTCTTATATCGAATTCCGGCTGTCAAAGGTTCTTTTACGTGCACGCCAATGTGTATACGGTACCTCGGTTTTTCGTCAGATCCAAACGAATATACATTGTCCCTTCTCGGGCCCTGCGTCCAACACCACTGACAATGGGGAACTACGCCAGAAAATCCAGATGAACTTTCTCAGCTAACACCGGGATCGAACCAAACCATCGCCCTACTCACTGAGCCACTGTGGCTCCACATTCCTGTCTTTCAAAACGACGAAAAAGAATAGTTCTTCAGAGTTATATGGCGATACATTTTCAGTGTATGAACAATTAAGATATATCTTAAACTGAGAACACCAAGTTGGCGGCCCAACATGAAATGAAATGAAACGGGGTTTAACGTCCTACTGTTGTAACTGTTCTGCTCCTACTGGTCTAATGAAGACGGGCATACGCCATATAGTGTGCTATGAGGAAAGTTTGCACTATGGCCAACTCTTATATCGAATTCCAACGGAAAATCCCGATGAATTTTATCGGCCTTTGCAGGGATCGAACACGCGACCTCCGGGCTAGCGAGCCAGCGCGGCCCAACACAAAAAAGATAAAGTAGAATGCAAATATATAAACAAAATGTCTTACGAAGGTAGGTATAACTAGATATAAACAAATGAACATATTAACATATGCATTTTATAAAACATCAATTAACAATAGATACATTTTACAAACAAAATGTATCTGATTTTACCAATGGTCAATAAACCTTTGAGTCATATAAAAATCACTTGATGAAATTGTATATCCGAATTTTGAGTATAAAGGAACTTTATCCTCGTCAGTCTCCAACGATGCTTCATAACACCCAAGTTCAGCAGCCAGTAAGGTCAAAGTTTCTACCAGTCTGAAATTAAGAATTTTCTGCAAGTTACACTATGTTAATAATACTTCGCTTCGTTTATTTTCGTTTAAATACTTCATTTCGTTTCGTCTTAAGTTCTCACATAACCGATCAAACACCGGTCAAGAAATATGGAATGTCTACCCGAACCTTTGGTCTTCTTACTTCTATGATTGAATCGTGTGCTCTACAAGATTCTATTATAATGGCTACCCACATACCGGTGGGTATATTTAAAATGGTTAGGATGCGTTGATTGATAAAATATTCCAATCTTATTTCTAGTATTATTTTAGTGATAAGGTATGGTTGATTCAAATGAGACCAGGCAAATCTGGATTCGTTTCGAAATTAAGTTTTTTAAAATCTTATTTCCAGATGTTACCTGGAAATAAGAGAGTGCAAAAATGGGAATTATGGATAACCAAGCACGCCATTTTTACTTTTACGCACAGTCTGAGGCTACTTTAAAATTGTGAAGAATCTCGAATTTGCAACAGCCTTTATATTTAAAGGGTACATATTTTTGACTTTTGAACTATATGTGAACCATCCGGCTTGTGTGTGTCTTGAACTTACATTTTGGCAAATTGTCGACCTCTGTAAGGTTTACTAACCACGACATCTTCTATTCTTCCCCTCTGTAAAATAAAATATTTAATCAAAGAGGATTTACCACTTTCGCAAAGCGCAAAGAAAAAAAAAAAACAATTAATATAGAATAATATCATATCTCCCCACTGACAAGGGAAAATCAGGTCGGAAACTTTCTCGACTAATACGGGGAGCGAGCCCGAGACCCCTGGTTAATGAGCCAGCGACTTACTTACTGAGCCACCGCGTTCCCCATGAGCATTCGTTAAACACGGGACGAATTTCTTTTTTAAAATATATTGGGCTTCTTCTTTGGACAATTATCGACTCACTGACTGACGACGATGGTTGCGATGACGTCATGGCCTGTGCCTAACATTCTCAACTTAGAGACACGCTACGTACCGAGAAATACAGCTGGCTATCATTTAGTTTTTCGAGCGGTAGTTTCGTACAGGTTCCTGGTTTAGTTCAAGCTGTACTTATTTTCTATTTATCTTGTTAGCGTGTGCAATCCGAATTTTCATCCGAACCACTACTATTTCGTTTTTCGGCTAATACATATAGTATGTACTTTGACTTACCGAAGTTCCCCCAAAGAGAAACTTGAGCTCGTTAACTAATGTTGCACTGGCAATAGTTTTATTAGTATTTAAATCTTCTATAACTGTAACAAAGTGAATATCACCGGCAGATTTCATCTTTATAAATCTCTCTGAAGTAAATAAATACACAATTTTTATTCATAACAATACGAGATGTCATGCTACGAGGGAAATTATGCCCTGACAGCGGCTCTACGACCTACTCTTATGTTGAAATCCATCCGTCAAGGGTTCTTTTACATGCACGTCAATGTGTACACGGGACCTCGGTTTTTCGTCTCATCCGAATGACTATTAGAACTATTAGACAGCTGTCCTTTTCCGGCCCTCAGTCCTGCATCAAAATCCCGGGGTTACTTTCTCGGTCAACACCGTTTAGCGAGCCAGTGTCTTACTCCCTGAGCCACCATGGCTCCCCTTTTAATTTAAACGGGGCGATGAAATAAAACAAAGCAGGAATTGGTTACATATTCCACACAAATTTCAATTACCTGTAAATTGTTGTTTTGAAATTTTAGGACCAGGAACATGTTCATCCAATAATTCCATGTAACCTGTCAATTGAAATATTTTTAACAAATTTCAGTGGCGTACTTTAAAATATAATTACCCCTATCATATTCTTCAAGATATTATATAATATTTTATAAGTACCCATATAATAATCTTCAAATTATTATATAATTACTGCTGTTTAGTCTTTCGGATGGGACAAAAAAGACGCCCCGCGTACACATTGACATGCACTTAAAAAATCCCTTGGCATTTGGAATTCGATATAACAGTAGGCTCTATTCGGGCAAAATTTCCGTCATAGCACATTGTATGGCGTATGCCCGTCTTCATTAACCCAGTCGGAGCAAACAGTAGGACTCGTTACTTCATTTCATTTTATCTCATGTCATTTATATATTTACCCCTATCATAATCTTCAAGACATAAAGGTCTCATAACCATATCTTTACAAATATTTGATGGTGTGATCGGTGGATTAAACGATGCTTTATGTTTGGTGAAGTCAACCCTATCAAGAATAGATGGATTATATATTGGGTCATCACCTCGCTGACTCTGAAAAACGGTAAACGATAATATTATCTCCACACATATACATGTAGACAGGAACAGTCTCAGACACAATGTAGTAAGTACCATTGGTTAAACATACCATACATTATGCAAGAGCTAAATCTGTCTATTGCAGGTCTTTCTTTAGGCCTGAAAGGTTATCTAAATTATTAATTAGACATTAATTAACTTATCCAGACCATAATCAACTCTAGATGGCATCGCTGGCCTGCGATCTTAAGTGGATTGTGAGCCGATTTACTGCATAACTTTCATTCTCGATTAAACGATTAAATAGATAATCGAGACTATCCTGTTTATTGTACTGACTTTAGTAATGATGACCGAGGCTAGGCAGAAATTTCATTCGCTTAGTTTTCGGTTCATAGTGGATCAATTTGAATGAAATTTTCAGCAAATTGCCTTTACGTTATCTAGTTTCTAACTATTATAGTGAGAACTGCCAACTCGTTATCGAATCTCCCATAATGTATCTTTAAATGAGTGAAAGACTCCCAGAAACCTCTATCATAGGTTCCTCTTCCACATTTTTTTCTCACCCAAAGAATAAAAAACCCAGCAAAAATGAATCGTTAATAGTGATTCTTGACCACGAATTTTATGCTAAAAATATGAGTCTGGTTAATTTAGACTACGAAAATATATTTCGTTCAGTTAATTTCCTGCCCCAAATTTTTATCAGGTATTATTATTAGGAGCTAGCAACTATATGCCTAACTACAAGGTTTTACGAATAAATAAAAGTAAATTTCACAGACATGCTGTATCGGTAAGTTGCCGCGAGCGTGAGTATAAGAAACTACATGAGGTGACACTGAACCGAGAAACGTTACAACTAAATTAAAAATAAAATCGCCGAGTTTTAGCCAAAGTTTTGATCGAGTTCGTGTACCGAATCATTAAAAAAAAATTCACGGCTTCATTGATAAATAAGTGAATGAATATTCGCACGTGAATGTCTATTTTTGCGAATGTTTGCTGCTTGCAGTGCACGAGCGACCGAATAGATTTCATTTGAGTATTTCACTGTCATTAGAGATGCATCGATCGTGCTCACAAGTAGATTTAGTTTTTGTTACTAATGTTATTGTAGGGCCTATGATACTATGAACTTGAGGCTTTGGACCACCCTACTCTATGCCCAGTGCATATAACTCATAGGGTATAACCTATATGAAGCAAGCAATACGAAGGGCTAATGATATTTATCCGGTGAGTTTTAATGATTGTGTGGAGGGTGATTAGTCCCAAAGCGAACCAGACTTGCCATTCAGTTACATCTCCTACTCCTACCCATTTGCCTCGACTAAACCTAGATGATGTCACTTCTGGGTCAACTGTAATGCTGACTTTTAATATAATATTTGTAAAGAAATAAACTTACCACTATATTATGGGACACACTCATCGTAAATTTATTACTTCACGCATATATCTGGGTTATCAATAATCAAGGTTGTTATTTGATAGCTATGCGTTTGTCAACGATATTGCACTTTCCTGCACTTTGCACAGTTCATTATCGTTCTGGTCGCAGAACCGTGAAATGTTCAGGGGGTGTTAATGGGGACTAGCCACGACCTCACACCAAATTTCAGTCGAATCGACCAATAACTTTTCATTTTACCGACCCTTTAGCTTCTGTTAGAGTTACGTTCATGAGATAAACGCCATTTTGTTTGTTGACTATTTAGACTCGAATAACAAGACACTAAGACTGATTGCGGCACACTACGCTTCTTGCCTAACACCCCCATCTTGTTAAGAAATAATCCAAAATCCTATAATTCACTTGTGTCAGTTGAGAAATTAGCAAATATTTCATTTTCTTTTTAAATCTAACGTTGACTTTTAAGGTGTTATTATCACGTGTGCAGGTTTGAAAGGTCTCGCTGAACCAGACATTAATATCCTTATCTATTAACCACGGACCATGACAACCAAAATAACTCTTTCTTCCATTGTGTAGACTTCGTTACCGAGTGAAAAGAAATGATACAATTTCAAAATACCGTCGGCGAGTAGAAATTATTTCCATTTTATATCTGATTGTTTTTTTAAGTACTAGAATGATTCATATGATTTGACAACCTATTAAGTAATAGATATATACATAATTATGCTTTGACTTTCTTAGAAAATATGCTTTAAAGACCCTGATCGGATCAACGGAGTTTGTGTGGTGCGTATACTGTATGGACAAATTGTCCGGGGGCGTACAAAGTGGTAGTGAACGTAAAAGATCCCTTGGTGATGGCTGTGTGGCTACCTACACGAACTTGTCAGCGTTACGCCATGTAGAAATTAGTAGTGCACGTAAGAGATTTAATTGCTGTAGTTTGGTTGGGAACTTTTTGTTTAGTAGCTTTTGGATGGGAAGAAGCACCCAGTGCACGTAGAAATCCTCTGTTGTGTTATGTGATCGGGGTAATAGTAGCTTTGGTGCATTACTCCTGCCAAGGTATGTTGCTCCATACGGTCTGTTGATGTCACCGGTGTCATCAGACAATAATTTTCAGAGATTATTACAAATATGTGAAACCTGCGGTAAGAGGTGGAGATTTTGCTTCTCACCAACCAAATGTATGGTGCCGAATCAATCCTCCGGTTTCCTACCACATTTAAAGATCCCTACGCACAAGCGAATTATTGAAATAAAATGGAATCATAGTTTGTGTCGTTGCCCAACCCCTCTCTCTCTCCCTCTCACTCATATTGAATCATATGTTAGTCCCGAAATGACATACCCTCTCTCTCTCTCTCTCTCTCTCTCTCGCTCCCTCTCTCTCTCTCAATTTAACGATCGAAGTTTGATACTTGTCTATTTGTATTGTTATTCCCCTGGCTGTGAAAGGATTAAACCATATGGTCATTGCTAAGTAGATAAAACATTGCGTGTATGCTGAAAGCCAAATCTTTAACTTGATATCATCAACTGTCTTCGACATTGCACACACGACATATTGGTCAATTTAAATTAACATTATTGATGTTATCTTTCCGAGAAAAGCTGGGTTTCTGATATCCAATATTTAAAGGGCCAATCTCGATTATATTTTGGAGAATAAAACTGGTTAATTTTGTGCTAAAAGCCCTTAAAATCATCTACCTAAGGGCCGAGCAACTAACTCAATATACGCAATACATTTTTGGAAAACATAAACCCGCCAGTCTTCATCTGGAAATGGAGACTGGTGTCCCAAGCTGTATTATATGTTGTGTGGATAGAACAAAACTTTTATTTTATAAAAAAAAACGTGTAGGTGAAATTTTCCTTTCGTTATCATATCCAAACGACTCAATATTTTTAGCTAAAATTTTTAGACAAGGTAAATGCGCCATTCCTCTATATTTTGGCGCTTACATTTCATACGTACAGAGGTCCCTTTAAGACAAAATGAAAAATTTATAATTGGGACAGGAATGCGTGCCAGAATGCTTTTGAGTGCCATTTGTATGAATAGACTTGATGATCGAGGTTCCGCGTATTTCGCTGAACATAACTGATTAGAAATTACAGTATAAACAGAAACGATTGAATGTAAATCAGTTTACATACACATTACTATATGCGTTGCGACCCATTTATGTCGATTTCTAGGTCCAAAAGAATAGCGATTTAGCTCCTTTAAGCGTAAACCATTTGCAATTATATTCTTGGTATATGAACTTGGAACTCCAAAAACGCCTGCAAAATATTCGTCCGACCTTGTACCTCGCTCTGTAAAAATGTTGATGAAGTTACATTATGTAAAACTTGCTGCATATTAATATGTTTAATGTAATAGTAATATGAGAAGGTTCAGTGCTGTTAACAAGAACTACTTTATTATCAGTTAAAAATAAAACCCTTCGATTCATTAATAATACAGATATTTTTGACCTTCAGTGCGCTGTAATAATGTTCATGACGCTGCGATCCATCTGTAAGTCCGTGTCCAACTTCGTTTTCTGCATTGCCGCTTTTTGTATATATTTTATGCGTGCTTTTGTTGGTTGTATTAATCAAAGGGAATACAGAATGTTATTTTTATCACAGGGAATTTCCCTGTACACCATCTGTTTACTTCCTTATCCTGCCGCCTGAAAACCATTACTAGTCCTTCAATTCTAGACCACAAAATTAACAGAAACCGATCTTCAAAAAATAGAGAATGAATTTATCTATATGGTATCACAAAGTACATTCATGAAAGTCAGTAACAATTAGTGGTCAAACACCACTTTTAGTCATTTTTGCCACAGTCTATTTCTTTATGAATATCTTTTCCAAGCCTAAACATGGGGCCTCATATATCACAGAAGCAATAAAACTAACAGCATACGTCACTGCTACCACTCCAATATAACCATTTATCTGAAAAGACAACAAAACAAAATGGATGAATTGATCAGAAGAATATCCTTTAAAATGCCGTAAGAAAACTGTATTTTGTGGTTTCCCCTTTCAGTGGTGTAGGACGGAGGGCCTGGCAAGGACAGTAACTAATTGATCAGATGGGACGACAAACCGAGGCCCCTTGTACACATTGGCGTGCACGTAAAAGTAGGGCGTTAAACCCCCATTTCATTCATTTATTCATTACATTGTAAACTCCTTAATTGGCTCAGTGGGTAGGACTTTGGCTTGCTAACCTGGCGGTCCGGTGTTCGATCGTTGTGTTGGCAGCGAAAGTTCATCGGGCTTTTCCGGCGTGGTTCCCTCTTGTCAGCGGTGTAGGACAGAGGCCTTGACAAGGGACAGCTTATAGTCGTTCGGATGGGTCAAAAAGCCGAGGTCCCGTGTACACAATGGCGTGCACGTAAACGATACATTGACAGTTGAAATCGATATAAGAGAAGGCTGTAGTGCCGCTGTCCGGGCAAAATTTCATTGATAGCCCATTATGTCCGTCTTCATTTCATGTGAAGTGGACTTAGTAGTTCTAGTAAAAATACACACCCGCTGCTCCGTACACGATACTCGCCATCAATTTCATGGAATACATTCACGTAGCAGCATCTCAAATTTGACATACACTCTTAAAAGGGTTTCCTTCTCGAGAAGGGCAACAGGGAATGGAACCCTACAGGTAGCTGTATCAGGGTGGATAAATGATGGGTTTAGATGAGCTGACCCACCAAATAATGCTGTAGCCCCATTGATTTCGATGAGTTATACTTACAATATAATACATATCTGCATACGGTAAAGATCTAATACTTCCTATTTCACTAGTTAATATTATCAGATGAATTAAATAAGCTGCGTATGTTAATCTAGATAATGGTATCCAAGCATTCCACGATAAAATAGTGTTGACGAAACCTGGAAATTAAAATAAATAAATAATTTAATTAAAATATGAAACATATCCATCACGATCAACATGAAAATAAAGGTGACTGAATTTATATATCATATTCAAAATAACGCTAAACACGCAAAATAATCGAAAATACAAACAGTGACCTGTACATCAGTATTCGAGGAACTTCTTGAAAACCACCAAAGACTATGATGTGTACACAAACAATGGATAAAAGACCCAAATTATCGAGTTCCGATTCCATTTAAAAATGATATGTGTCCTTACAACATATAATTACATTGCTATCGTCTGATTAATGACAATTTTATATGTCGTCACAAACAAACTGAACAGGGCCAACGAACGAAGAGTTGTGACGGGCTGGTTCTTACAACGTCAATATAGATATTCTAGGAATGTACGACTGGGTAGGGGGGCTTTAAGATACACGTCAAGTTGTAGTTTTAAAGGGAAAGAGTGTATGACTTGATAAGGGAACCCAAACTATCTGCTCTGTTTCAATCCTTTAGACCATTTGTTATTATTCTGTCAGAGAATTCTAGTAAATTTTGTAAAGATATAGATAGTTAAGATATAAATAGTTGTTATCTAATATTTTAATCAAGCTCCATTACCTCCATATCCGTTCACACATAGAAGGATCATCCATGATAATGCCAGGGCAAACGCTGGTCGATAAAGCGTCTCTTGAGCTATAAATGTGTCTTCAGACCAAGCATGACCATTCTTTCTATAACAATCATATGTGATATATGTTGCTAAAAGACCTAGAACACCCGCAATGACAGAACCACTGAATACAAATACCTGAAACAAAATACCAACATTTTAATTTGATTTTGCATTGCATGCACAAGAAGAGCTCTACGAGAATACGGACAATATGTCGTCATAGAAAACAGGAATTTTAGTTTTAAAAAGTACGAGCGTACTATGGACAAGGAACTGAGTATGACATTATCGCTGCCATCGTGGAATTGGGACCGTGTATCAAAAATGTAATTTTGTCAACCGATTCACAATAGTACAAGGAACAAACATGTCAAGAATCATGTCATCGTACTTGATTTGACGGAGCCTTAGACTTCTTTCGACGAGCCTCGCCCAAAAAATAAGAAAGAGGACAGAAAGACGAGTAGCGCGTGGGACCCAGTTCCTGGACTATAAAAGTCTAACCTACTAAGGATGCAAATACTATTAGAATACCAATAAAAATATGTTAGTGTTTGGGGTATTCGGATGACGATTTGGTTGACTACCCCATTAATGATATGTTTCAATTCCTCTTTGATTTGGAACGTTTTCAACATAGATTGTTATAAATGACAATATTGTTTTATCCTCAGTGTATATTTCACAAATATTTGGAACGTTTTCAACATAGATTGTTATAAATGACAATATTGTTTTATCCTCAGTGTATATTTCACAAATATTTGGGAAACCCAAAAGAATACTTTATCGGGGTGGTATATACAACAAGGGGGTGGTATATACAACAATTAGAGAATTTTTTTTTTAGCGCACGCTCCATATTTTACCTTCGACAGCTTTTTCCCCTTTTTCTTGTGAATGAGGTAGCCAAGGGCTAAACCAATAGCATACACACCGACCCTGGTGTAAGGTTTAACATAAACTATATTAAAGTAATCGGCATTAAAAGACATCCCTGATGCAGTCCGCCTGTGGATAAAGAAAATAAATATGGGAAAATACGTTTGTCACAGAGAACAATGCTTTCAGGATCTGGATCTTAAAAAATTGGGGGGGGGGGGGTATATGTTAATCAAAGGGTATCTTTCCAGATACTAATACGGAAAGCTTCGGACAATCCATTAAGTTTAAAGTCCCCTGCATTATCTAGTACACTTGCAAGATGACAAATATGAGTAATACCCACGCTAACAGATCAATGACAGACTCAATAGTTAACGCTATGTTATAAATAACTATTGTTAAATTATTGTGGGATTATTGGGTAATTTGAGTATATTGCAAATACAGTTTTTTCTGGGGGGTTTCTAAGTCTGTTTTACATTTTGAGTGAAGTCCTGTATCATTACAGCGCTGTGGACGCTTACGGCCATTATCCACCTGGTCCATTTGTTGTTTATTGCTTGCAATTTGTGTGTCTTGTCCGCAAGTTTGTCTTACCGGGTTTTTTTGCTTGTAGTGTGGCCCTCCTGTATTGTTCATTGAGTCATTAAAAATATCATAGTTTCAGATCTAATTATTCCTCCAATCAAGAGTCCAAAATGCAGGAGAATTAATTAATTCTACATACATTTAATTGTAAATAATGTTTTTTCTTACTGAAATATTCCCTTGAAATGTATATCCCACGCTGTATAACCAGTTGTAATATATTGTATTGCTAGCAAAATTGCTAATATTACAAAACCAACCACACGATGGCTGTAAATAAACAGTTTTTGTGGATTAAATGTCGGATTGATAATTAAGACGAAACAAAAAGTTATTATGGCATGTAGAAATTTAATTGAAATCCTCTCAATTATATTCAAATATGCAGTTTATTTTGGATGGATTGAAATATTCTTCATTAAGTTTAAAGAAGACATTAAATCTAACTGTGCATAAAAAGGTAGATAAAAGTATATAAGCAGCTCTCGAAAAAAATATGATCATTACAGTTAAAATTTCATCCGTCAGAGGATTTTGGCTATTGAATTTAATATGTTTGTGTTTCAAAGCAAAATGGTGTTGAAATATACAGTGTCAATATTAAATGTATAAATTTAAAAACTAACCCTAATGCTAACGGTATTAATGCCAGTGGACCGATGATGTAAAACTGCATATCATTTGCTAGGTACCACGACCATCTCATACACTATAAAATAATTCAGTTGTTGTTGTATAGATGCATTACTGTTTGTTATTATGTTATAACCAAAATAGAGAATTTTCGGATTAAGATTAGCTTTGTGTTTTAAATAGGAATTCTTTAAGTTTGGACTAAGAGTTGACGTCTGGTTTATTCCACCACATAACAGATATATACTGGAATGCTAGAAACAATTTGGCGAGAATATCCGTGACTCCTTGTTTTAACGCCAATCCTAATTCTCGGTCAATAAAATAGAATACACAGATATGCTGTGTGAATACCATTTTCCACTTGCAGTAAATTGTTCAATTTAGACGCCAAAGGTAACTTATTGGGAAGCCGGGCGGGTAGTCGTACAATGCTAGTAGCGGTTTGTAGAAAAGTCGCATCGAAAAATAAATATTGCACGTGGTTGTTTAGGGAAGTCGTAATGAAAATTGTATAATGCCAATGGGGGCTTGTAGGGACGTCATATTAAAAGTTGAGTTGTGTAATTCCAGGATTATTTTTGGGAGATTTGGAATGAAAATTGTTTAATACAACTGTAGTAAAATCGAACTGGAAATTGGGGGTGTGGGCGAAATAGAAGTCGGATGGAAATTATAGGATGCTAATGCCAACATGTATAAGGAAATTGAGCGAGAAGTTGTATAAAGCCAATGATAGAACATTGCCATTGTTTGCTCTGGCAGTAAAACATAGTTCACCGATAACGATAAACATCAGTACTCACCATTGCGTTTCGCTCAGATTTATATAAATTATTTATATACAAAAGATTAGTCCACCAATTGTCTTTACAGTTTTGTGCATCTTCATCAGCGGTACCTGGTACCATAGGTCCATCTATTAAATATTTTGCCAGATGTGCATAGAACAGAAGCACAAGGGCGTATAATGGCGTTAACCTAAATATATATGGGAAAAGCAGAGTTCATAAACTTAATGTTAAAGTTTCAGTCAACTACTTCGTGGATTACTCTTGGTAATGATAGAGCTTTTACTGCCATGTTACTAGATAATCCATTCTAAGTACCCTAGTTAGCAATATCTCGTATTATTTCTTGTCCGGGGTAATTATATAGTTTTCACTCTCGTGTTAGTAGATAATCGAGACTAAGCACCATATTAACAGTTGGTTAGCAATCTCTTGTAGTATTCTTTGCCCAGAAAAAAAATCTGCAATCAACTTTGAACTGTTTGATTGTTGAAGTTCATGAGCCAATTCGATTACATGTCTTTTAATTACTTCTCTGGGGCAACCACGATGACGGCGTAGGTAGTTGCTAATAATATAAACAAACATCCATCAATTATTGTATTAATATAGATAAAATGAATCTAAGCTACCTACCTCCAATATCGGTGAAAATAATATAAACCCATCTGTTTTCCTGTCACCTTGCCACCCATTCTACTACAATCTCGAAGGAAAAGGTAAGCCACCAACAACCCGCTATAAGTCAAGAATGAAACAAGTTGACTATGCAACGAATCAGATCAAATTCAGATATCAAGTTCGCTCCGTTCTACTTCTAAAATGTTTTACTACAAAACAGTGCAAAAGTCTCATTTTGATTAGACTGTTATGTAGTAATTAAGGTTACGTATACCAGGGATATTGTTAAAAACCAACAATAGTGTTCGCCCTATCTGGGTAAACTGAGATTGCCAAACTAATCAGCAGTAAATAATCGCTTAACCGCTACTATCACTGATAGGAAAGACATCTGAGCGAGTTAATTAGCTCTCAGTATTAACCTTTTTTTTCCTTCCGCAAATTAAATTTAAATTTTTTTTTTAAATTTTTCAAAAAAAGTTTATGGAAGCATATCTAAATAAAAATATTTCCTAATTAGTGTAAATGGTACATAAAATAGTACGCGAAGACGTAAAATGAGTAAACGTCACCAATTCGTAGACCTATACTGCGCGTGAACTTAAACGTCAGTCATCTTGCACAGAGTAAAAAGAAGACTTCCGCATTAGCGTTGTGAAACAGATTGTGAGGTTGCCAAAGAGGTCAGTGCATAATGTCCCACACCCATATTTCCGGTTTTAAAGATATGTTGATGGTTGATTTTTATATCAAATGAGAGAATCAAATGCTGCATCTATTGTTACAGTCGAACATAGCGAAGGAGTGTCAAGATATGTCACCCTACTATATAGAAACCTAGTTGTTGAAATGACATACATGATGACGTATAATTGTAAAATAAAAATGACAAAGTCTATAGTATACTTATTATAAAATAGAAACAATACATTTGGAAGTTACCTTAGGACAAAGAAAGTATCAACAGAAAGGGTTCCATTTATTATGAATTGAAAGCCAAACGTTTGCATTCTACTCAGATAGTCTTTCTTATTCTCTGAAATAAAAATGAAATTAAAACAGCTTTTATACTTGTTCTCGTTTGTAGCATCGTTTGAAGATTTTGGAAATACAAGACGCAACTAGTCTATAAAGTTAACTTGTTTTTAGTGCAATAGGTGTAATATTAAAATATGACTGGATATCACCATAATATTGGGTAATATAACCGCCATTTTTGTGCAATAGGTGCGTGTATTATGACTGTATATCACCAAAATATTACGTAACATAACCGCCATTTTTGTGCAATAGAGGTATTTAAAGGACAATATTGGTGCCAGTCATTATCACATATGTGATAGAACTGGTTAAACACGTTCCAAATATTATTTTATCACAGAGATCATTGCTGCGATAGATGAATAATCAATGTTTCGAACGTAGGAAGTGACGAACGCAAAAGGAAAACACGAGTTATCTCTCTATATAACTGGCTGAAGTGACGGGTGATAACAGATACATGGGCGAATTTCTGCTCACTAAAAATTCCTTCGAAGAACAAAAGTTGTTATATGAGACTGTAAGAGTATACCTGACAATTCAAAAAAGTAATTGCATGTCATTAGGTAAGAGAACACGAGAAAAATAGAAACAGTCCGTACATTCACGGGTTTTTATTCATGCTATACTTATAAAAACATGGTAATGCACGGACTTTTTCTATTTTTCTTTCATGTTCTCTTATCTATTGAGAGTCAATTTTGTTAATGAATTGTCAGATATCCTTTCACAGTCCCATACAACAACTTTTGGTCTTCGAAGGAATTATTAGTGAGCAGAAATTCGCCCATGTATCTGTTATCACCCGTCACTTCAGCCAGTTATATAAAAGGATAACTCGTGTTTTCCTTTTGCGTTTGTCACTTCCTATTGTTGAAACATTGATTACTCATCTATCGTAGCAATGATCTCTGTGATAAAATAATATTTGGAAAGTGATTAACCAGTTCTATCACATATGTGATAATTACTGGCACCAATATTGTCCTTTAATATGGATGTATATCACCAAAATATTACTTAACATAACTGCCAGTTTTGTGCCATAGGTGCGTGTAATATGGCTGTATATTACCACAATATTACGTAACATAACCGCCATTTTTGTATGCACTATCGTCGTAGTAAGAATTATTAAGTAGATAACTTACCCGCCACACCGCCCAGTAATTCTAGAAAATGGCTTAATATAACCCAACACATACTTAAAACCCTAATACCATGTAAACATGTTAATGTCCCGGACGGTGCCGAACAATCCAGAATTCTCTTGCCATTCCGATAAATTGAAAAAGTTAGTAGCATCTGCACACATAAACCATTTTCTGAAAACAAAAACAACAACATTACTTTCACATACTGATTAAGAAGTAATTTAGACAAATTTAAACATAAATTAGCTCTTGCATGTTGGTTTTGTGTATTTGTTTTTGTGAACTACCAAAA